CTACCTTCTTGACCACTTCTCTGACCGTAACACCACGAAAACGTGGGTCATCCAGATCTACCTTCATAACATGCCACATACGTTTGAACAAACGTACAGCTGTCTCTGCTCGGTTCGGCCAAGGAGTTCTTGGCCCACAAGGACATTGTTGTATACCATGGAACCTGTAGTATTCAACAAAAGCATCTGTGAAAAAGGCTTCGTCTCCTACGATGGCCTTTGGAACACAATTGTTCTCATCAGACCATTGCCTCAATGCTTGGATGGTGGTTTGATCTATGAGGTCTTTCTGTGCCGTAGCCCAGAGAAGATTTGTGGCACCATCAAGAACAAGTAGAATGATATACTTGTTCTTGTGAAGTTCAACCTCACAATGATCAGCAAAAACAACATCACCAAAACATGAAGCTCTAATACCGGAGACTCTGGCTCGTGGCGGAGGTGCCACTGAAGTGTTACAAACACGGCAGTTCCTGACAACTGATTCATACTTTTTTAAAACAGAGTCAGGAAGCTTCAACATAGAAACACGTCTACGAAACTGAGTAGGACTCATATGGTAGTGCTTCACATGAAGCTTATAAAGCTCTACCTTGTCCTCCAGTCTCTGTAACATCTTCCTATATGCCGGTGTCATTGCAACAACTTCACTACCAGGTAATGGGATTGAAATCCGCCTAGGCTCAAGAGCGCCATCACCTGGTTCAAGTGGTTCATGTTTATCACTTGATGGTCCTTTTGATGCTTTAGGAATTTCTACAAGTTCACCTTCTGGCCTCTCAGGTGGTTCTGAGGGAGCATACTCCTCAAGACCATCACCCTTTAAATCATTCTGAGGCTCAGATGGTTTTGACTTGTGGCCCTTCCAAAATGGATCAAAACCCTTGGAAGTATACCGAAACTTTGGCGGCACGGGCTTTTCCGCGGCACTGGATGGTGCACCTTCCTTCTCTGATGAGAAGCCTGGTTCCCTGTCCTTTGCAATGGGAACCTTCTCTGAGGAGGAGCGCACCACTGCATCGGGATCACCAATGCCACGGTGCTCAATGCCAGCCTTCCTGATCTTTAGATCTGGAATTTTGGCATCTGGCTTAAATTTAAAAATTGTTCTACCACGCCATTCATAGCCAAGTTGTAGGTCCTTCCATTTTGCCTTGCGCCAATCATCTGTCTTCTTGATTTCTTCTCCTCCTGCTTTCTTCTTGATGATTGTCAGTCGCAAGTCTTCCAGCAAGTCAGTGTCTACAGGACAGGACTTAGTTGCTGGGAAAAGAATTTTCCTGAAATCCTTGTGGTGACGTATCAGTTCTCTCTTGTGAACATCTACTTCCCAGAAATCAACCACAGGATATGCATGCTCAGCTTCACCTTCATCACTATTGTGTTCAACAGAAATATGGCCATATTCATAGTGAGTGAGGTGAGAGTAAAAACTCTTCTCACGCTGAGTCTGCCAACGCACGTCAGACAGATACCATGCAATATCTTGGAAGTCCAACACAAGATGAGTACTGGCTGCAACCTTCAACTCCAAAAATTTGATACCAAGAGGCACCGATGTCAGATAAGCATGTTGAGGTGTCAGCCTGAGTTCAAAGCCTAAGTTCCTCATCTGTGGCAAGCTCATAAGCAAAGGGACTTCTCCTTCTTCCACTATGTCGAACTCTGTATGGTGGATCGTCCATGCACGATCATACATATAAATCACCAGTTTCTGAGTGCAAGTAGCCTTCTGGGAATTGGCAAAGTAAAACTTGCTCTTGGTAGACTCAAAAGAGTACCATAATCCACAATCCGGGTGATTGTCGACATAGTTGCAAAAATGGTCGACTGCTCGCCTTGATCCCATAGCTCTAGTGCATCCAATGTCCAGGATTGCAATAGTTGGCGGGAAGCGATTCTCAGTCAAAAATGAAATAGCCTGCATCTCCTTCACTTCTTCCTCAGCGCTCATAAGCGCAAAGCCATCAGCGCTCATAAGCGCAAAGCCATCAGGAGCCTTTGTGAGCATCTCCTTTGACAAAGAGTACCTCACAGGGGCACTCATGTCATCGAAGATCGTCTCACCATTGTTGACCACGCAGTCAGCTTCATCTTGGCATGAGGTCATCATGCCTGACAGCAAGTCCACCTCACTGTCATGGACTTCAGCTGCTGCTGTCACACAATGTGCATAGAAACATTGTTGACCTCCTGATGCTTGTGAAGTTCTTGAAGGTGCAGGTAAAGAACGTGGCTGTTGTTGATTTGCATAGTTTGCATCTTGTTTGCCATCTCCTTTATCTTTTCCTTTTCCTTTCTTGCCTTTTCTCTTGCCTTTTCCTTTTCCTTTGTGGGAAAACCATGCTTCTTCAAGCTGTTGCCAAAAGTCATTGGCATCATCATATTCTCCTTGAAGATAGTCATTCATATCCTCGGCAAGAATGGCATCATATGCTCCTTGGTTTGACTCCCAAGTGTCCTCATAAGGATTCTCTTCAAGGTATTCATCTGGAAAAGTTGTCTGTTGCTCATCAGCAAAATGGCCTTTACCTCGTCTCTTTCCTTTTCCTTTTCCACGAGGTCTGAAGAATCTGCGGCCTGATCTTCCTTTACCTTTTCCTTTTCTTCTACCTTTTCCTTTGCCTTTTCTGGCTCTTCTTCCTTGGAATCTCCTTTGGAACCATGAGAAGTTTTGATCATCATATACCCAAAAGACATCGTCCAGGGCATCTAAAAATCCTTCAGTTCCATCTTCTTCATCTTCGGCCCAATAGCCAAATGTACCATCGAGTTCTCCTTCGTCTAGTACGAGAAATGATCTTCTACCTCCAGCACCTGTCGGCTGCATCAATGGATTGTCTACTGAAGTCTTTGTCGTGCAGAACATCTCGATGAAAACTGTCCTCAGCTCTGTTGTAGTGTATTGCTGCAGGTACCTGCCACGATGAGTCATCAAAGAAGTCAAAGTGTTTCGCTGGTCCTGTGACAAATCCGCAAGTGACAGCATGAGTAGGGCAATGAGATTCTCTCCTAGAGGAAATTCGTTCTGATGAAGAATTCTCATATTGCCATTGACATTCTGCATGATTTCCTGAATCCTTTCTGCCGTTGGTGCTACTCCAGTCAACGCTGCATCTGCCTGCATCTGAGCAAGGACTTGGGGATGTGCTTGAGTGACTGGTTCTAACATGTCCATCCAACTGCTCATAAGCCTTTGGAGTAAAATCTGGAATCTTGTCATCCATTTCATCATGTCGGCTGATCCTCGATTGAATCGCACGAATTGCATAAACCTGTATAGGAATACATTGGTTGATCCTTTCACGAAATATGGTCGTAGCACTCGTTTGAAGTAATCTACTCCTGCTCCTGGTGGCTCATTAGCCTTCAATGAATCTCTGTCTAATACACGTTTGTATACTGCTGCTTCTCCTTCTAATCTGTTTCTCAAAGCTGGTCCTCTCTTCTCTTCTTCCAGCTTGGTGATATCACACCAATCGTCTATGGCATCCTCATAGGAAAACCATGAAGTCTTTCCATCATAAGATGGGGGCACCTTTGTAGTGACCTGTGTTGTCATTGCTATTGCTGCTGGTTCTCTTCTCACATGCCTATTCACGTAGGCTGCTGGCTCATAAGCCACATCCGCATCAGGCTCTTCCCAGTCGTCAATCCAATCCATGGCCGTTTGCCCACAAGCAATTCTATGCCTAGGAAAGGAGCTCACCTGGGTCTTCCAGGATCACTGCTCCGCTACCACTGAAAGAGTGACTAGGGCGTACACGGTAGAGGTGCAGACCGCTAGTGTCTTTTATGCGCAGAGTCTTATCCTCTTGCTCTTTAGGTCCATTGACCCTCTCTTGAGCCTTGTAGCAGTCAAGCATGGACACACTATATCAGCTGTTGGAGTGGAACCCT